GTACAATGTCAATATAGCGACCCATTTGACTGAATAGAATGGGTGTAATTTGAAGAGTTTGTATCCAATTTTGAACTATTGATATTTTGGCATATTGTTGTCCTGGTTCTTAGATAGTATTATGTAACTTCCATTACATTATTGTGTGTGCATGCATATGATTTGGACGGATGTTCATACGTTATGCGTATCTATCACACTTTGAAAGATGGCGTGGTTCGTTTCCATCTATGATTGTAATGTGTTCTATTGTGAGCAATAGGGGTTTGTAACTCGTGTGACCAATCCTGGTTCTTAGATAGTATTATGTAACTTCAATTACATTATTGTGTGTTCATGCACATGATTTGGACGGATGTTCATACGTTATGCGTATCTATCACACTTTGAAAGATGGTGTGGTTCGTTTCCATCTATGATTGTAATGTGTTCTATTGTGAGCAATAGGGGTTTGTAACTCGTGTGACCAATATGATCGGTGTGACCAATATGTAAAATAGAGTGTGACCAACAATTTGGAGTATGATGAGAATGTGAGATGTTTTACAATGGTTCTTAGAAAGCATAATGTGTTTCCTGTTAGACAACTGTTATGTACAATGTCAATATAGCGACCCATTTGACTGAATAGAATGGGTGTAATTTGAAGAGATTGTGTCCAATTTTGAATTATTGACATTTTGTCATGTTGTTGTCTTGGTTCTTAGATAGTATTATGTAACTTTCATTACATTATTGTGTGTGCATGCACGTGATTTGGACAAATGTTGATACTTTATTTAATGCGATGCAGGAATGGAAGTATATGATCTCCGAAGATCTTTGGTATCTGGATAAAATAGCCACCAACTCGACAAAGAATGTCCTGACAAATTTCAAGTCAAAGTTCACGGATAGACGGAGGAGTATTCTAGCAAGAACATGTTTTCTCACACTAAGTTGGACATTGCTACATTATTCTTTAAATATAAGGAGATCAAGAAGCCGACAAAGCTAGTGAAGTCAAAGAGCTAGAGCATCAAAATAGAATGATTGTAGAATATCAGTTTTAGTGGCTAGTTGATGTGTAATGCTTGTAAATTCTTGGAATCCGGATACGCGAATATTTTGAATTGTTTTACATTAATGGAATATATTGAAAAATGTGGTTGCTCATGTGTCTTCCGATTCTTTAATATTTTCGTGAATCTACTGCTGTTTGAATGTTCAATACGGCTTACCCTCTATCAGGGCACAATTTTCTTATTATCATATAGATGTTATAATTCATTTGTTAATCACAGGTCACAGAGTCGTTTGCCCAGGTCACAGATTCGTTTGCACAGGTCACAGATTTATTTATCCAGGTCACAGGTCACTGATTTGTATGCACAAGTCACACGTTACTGATTTCTATGCTCTGGTCACATTTGCTTGCTCAAGGTACATATCATGGAATTATGTGAATTGGTCACAAGTTACAAAATTGCTGGCACAGAACATACACATTTGACATTTGCGTGCTCAGGTCATAGATCACAAAAATGTGCGAATTAGTCACAAGTTATAGAATTGTTTGCACAGAATACGTCACATTTGTGCGGTCAGGTCACAGGTCAAAGGTTACAAATCGCATTTGCTTGCTCAAGTCACAAGTCAAATATCACAAACTTGTGTGCACAAGTCACAAATCACGTGTGTGCTTAGGTCACAGGTCATGGGTTACAGACTTATGTGCACAGGTCATAATTGCTTGATCAGTGCACCAATCACGAGTCACATTTGCATTGTCAGGTTACAAGCCACACATGCGTGCTTAGGTCACTGGTCATAGAACCCAGAACTTATTGCCACCATTGTCTGTAAGTCACAGTCCGCGTATAATATTATTAGTACATCAGAATGAGTACACAAATATGGTCACAAAGATAAATTTCAATCACAAATGCTTTCTGGTGTGCATTTCATGTCTTGGTGAGCGTAATTATCGTAAATTTAATGTCACGAACAGACATTTTGGTCACATATCCACACATATTTTGTGTTATAGACATGAATTAACGTCACAAAAAAATATTCTGGTCACAAACTCACATTTCGTATGGAGAATTTCATGATTTATAGATATATAATACATAATTGTGGCCAAAATCTAATAAATACCAACAAATAATGTAAATAATCGCTGTTTGCGATGCAATTTTAATATACATACGACACAATGAACAACAATATTCGTCATCTGCAATGCAATTTTTTGTATACAGCCGACATAATGCAGATTATAGGACACGATTAATCACATACTGATTTGATTTTAGACAGCCAATTGAACACCTTCGTTGATCGGAATGATGGAAGAATGAATATCCTTGAATCCTCGTAATTGTGACCACCTTGCTTCACAATTTTCTCGAAAAGATAAATCTGTCATCGGATAGAGGAAAGTATTGTTCCGTTTCAATAATCATGACTTTCCACCTAGAAATGACAATTGCAAGATTGTAGGAACCGTGACTTTCCATTTTGTGGAGATTTTGGTTTGACACGGTAACTAGTAATTGATTGCGAGATTGTAGGAACCGTGTGGAAGTTACATTATTTATCTGTGTTCCATACATAATACACAATATATATTAAATACATATTATATATTATATATAACCTGATTTATGAAATTCGTTGACTTGTTTCTTATTTTTGAAATGCTGCATAGTATACACATGGATAGTGTTGTTCCCTTATTTCATTTCATTTTTGCAAGTTAGGTTTGTCTACGGCCCAATTTTTGGGTCCCTTTTGGTTGTAGTGGCCCTGCTTGTTTAGGGCCCCGGTTCATTATTATGTTCGTACGATCTTATCTCAAACAATGTTTTAAATTGCATGCATATAATTTCGTTGATCGTATATATGTGCTTAAACGTCAAATAAGCATACATTTGTATTAAAATTTGTGTTCAAATTAACCTGACAAAGTTAGCCCATTTTTATAACTTAAAAAAAAATACAAAACAAAACAAAAGACCAACAAATGTCAAATTGGCCCAAATCATCAAGCCCATGAATTATATACAACAATATGTAGAGTTGTGACTTTTAAAAAAAATAAAAATTAAGACAAATATTTCTTAGAGTTGCGAACTATCTACATCGAGCCCGACCTCCTTATTCAGTCCCTAGTTTCAATACTGATATCTTTATTGAGTTGCAGAACTTGGAGGTGCATTATTTTCATTTTTGTAATGCTCACCTAGTCAAAAAATAATTTTGTATCGAATGACAATGAAGATGACCTGGATAAAGAAAAAGGATTGAATTGGAATCTGATAAAGAACTAGACAAGATTTCAAATTTTTATTAAGCCAATGTTCATATCTAGTCTAATTGTAGGAGTTAATTATCAAGTAATTGTGGTACTTATGATTTTGAGCAATATGCTTTAAATGAAATTTTGAAGAATATCTATAAAGTTCAAGTAATTGTAGTATTTATGATTTTGAGTAATAGTTCTTTTTTAATTTAAACAATATATATAAAGTTCAAAGAAATATTTGAAATTAAGAAACTATAATTATGTATATGCTTCGTATATGCACATTTATATTTTTAATGCTGGATGCTCGAATAAAACGCGTTGTCACGCATTTTAGAACCTCGATCTCAAGTTAATTTTTATGATGTGATTAAATTAAATTTTTAAGGATGATTTTTATGAAATATGTTAAAAAAAAAAAAAAAGTGAATACTACTAATCGTATTCATATAGGTCAAATTTTATCCAATGATTTTAAAATTTATTTGGACATTGAGTTGGAAAGTGAATTTTATCCAATGTTTTCAAATTTGATTCGGACATTGATTTGGAAAATGAATTGTTAAGAGTTAAATGTTTGAATCGAGAAATGAAATAATTAACTATAGGAAAATTTATGAAACACGCTGTATGTATAAGGTATATTTACACTTTACAAACAATATTTTCTAAATCTGTACTTTGCTCACTACATTTTACACCGTGGTAATTAAAAATACAAATTGTTTAAAAATTTATAAATTTGTCATTAAAAATAGTTAAATAAAACAAAATGTAGTACGTGAGACATAAATTCATAAAACAAGGTATATATGTAAAGTGTAACTACACCATATATAACAATGTGTATTTTTGTATATTTTCCTTAATTATATAAAATCATAAAAACTTTACCTTTCACGATTATAAAACTATTTTAGAAACTTTATCAGCAAACATACGTTAGATTTTAAAATATCGAAGATATTCATAATAACACAATACATGCGAGGTTGAGCTCAAGGTTAACAATTTTATTATTATTATTATTATTGCTAATTTTTGTTGAGAAAAATGTAGGGAAATCTGAAAAATTAATGAACTCCAAGGCACGAAAAACGTTATCTTTTAAGAGATGTTTTTCCCCTATCCAACAAAGTCACAACTGGGGTATGATAGAAAATCTCTCTCAGGGTACAATGGAGGCGTTTGATTCAAATTGCGACTATTTGATCAAATCAAGAGGACACTAAAAAAAAAAGGACTGATGATACCAAGAGAAATGAAAAGAATAATTTTTTTAATGTATTTTGCAAACGAAAATTAGCCCAAAATTTATAGAAATTGAGGCAACACTAGTCCGAGCGGCAAATCATTTGCAAAACAAAAAATTAAATACATGCAAAATGATGAAAAATATCTAACAATTTCTTTTTATTTCATTATTTCATATTATTATTTCTAAAGATTGGATTATTTCAAATATGTCTACTTTCCTAATTGCATTACACTAGGCAATAGGCACATAAAGAAGCTAAGGATTTGAACACGTTTCTACTTTACTTACACTTGATAAATTTGAATAAACAAAATATTTATATATTTATGTGGGTCGTGTTAGGCGTATCTCAACGTGCTTGACCAAGAGTATATATAGCCTCGCAAGGCCAATTCAAAACCAAGTCGGTCTAATTTTCGTCTCTAGCAAACTAAGTTAAAGCATCCTTAGTGATTTGATCTTGGAAATAAAGTAATATCTTTCATTGTACAAAAGGCAGCAATTTAAAGAGGAAGGATTTGAATACATCATGTGAGTGATTATGAAGAAAAACAGAATCGTCCCATCTTTTTACAGTCCAAAATAGCATTGAAAAACTGGAAAAAGAAAGAGATTAATAAAGCTTGTGTCTCCTAGCTATATCCATCTCCACCTAAGAAGAAATGCATATATTGAAGATTAAATTTAAATAAATAAATAAATGTGTAACCTCTCTCTATATGATTTGAAATTACTATAACTTACCAATGGTGATCCCGTCTAGTGCGACTTTTATACGTCCGATTTCCACCATAAGGGTAATCCGACTCTGCCCTTTTCGCGTTTTGGAAAGCACAGCAGCCGATGCAGTAGATTCCAATTAGGACAACAACCATAACAATGTTAAGGACTGAGATTTTGTGCCAATTTCTTCGTATATCTTCGAGAACTCCGGCCTTGCATGAATCGCACTCGTAGCACAGAATGTTCGGATCGTTATTCCACCTGTAGCAGTCAGATTCTTGTGCCACCATTGTCGATGTATAGTTGCATGAAGTTGGCGGCTTGCAGCAACCTGACTGTTAGTTAAAGTGAATGAAGAATCAAAAATGGTTGATTCGATAATCATTTATTCATTGGGACGATTACAGAAGTTACGCGTTTTTTATATATAACACGATCAAACATTTGCTCATTTGTTCAACGAATATCTAGAATTCGAATCTCAAAATATGTGATTTTTAACGTAATAATCAAATCATGGAAGGGAGCACAATTGTTATCCTAACCTCGTTTGATTTTCGATAAAATTGATACCTAAACTAGAAGACGTGTTAATCTTAAATTAGGTTAAGCTTAGAAAAGTCAGACTCATTTTCAAGTAAATTTTTATTTCTATATATTTAAGTAAATTATTTTTTATTTATAAATAAAAGAATTACTTATTTTAACAGGAAATTTTTTTTTTTTCCCAAAAGAAGTACTTGCTTTTTCTAATTTTAACCAACAAACAAAAGTTTTTAGATTAACTTAAATATTTACTTAAACAGACAAGAAAAACATTAAACTTCATTCAGTCATCAGAAGCATATTTTGAAGAGTCGTGTACCTTTTATTTTTGGATTAACAATCAAACTAGAATGTTTTGATTCTTGTCTTTAAAAGCTTACACCGTTAATTAAAGCAGAAACAAACTTGTAAGTAAGATTATTGGGATAGGAATAAACTTATCGACACATCCATTTATGTGTTTGATAGATTCATTTCTTCATCAAAAGCTTAATTTATTATCCTAAAAGTTTAAACAACTAAAAAATGTAACATATATATTACCTGAATTGGAGACAAGTCTTTGGTCAAATAATCGTAGGGCGTCCACGAAACAACCTTAGCACAAGTCTTCGAACCCAAAATACAACTCCTGACAGTCATCCAATAATGAGGATTCTCAATTCTTTTCCTCAACCATGGAGAATAATTATCAAGATGGTACTCTCTGTAAACCCTACCGGCCACCACGGCGCCGCCACTACGGCTCGTTACAACGAAACCAAACACAGTTAAGGCCATTAAAGTCCCTATAAGCAGCAACATGATGACCAGATACACCCGAAGTACCCTTGCAACATGAAAACAAGCCCCAATAAATCCCGCAAGTGATATTATGAGTATTATGAATCCCACAACCAAAAGTGGTGTCTTAAGGAAACTTTCGCATGTTGTACTGCTTTTTGCCATCCTTAAACCAGCGACTATGATTGGGATCGAGGCTAATAGAGTGAAAAGGTTTAAGAAACCTATCACTCTGTTACTTAATCTATACATCTGTCTCTATAGAACTCTGTGTGTGTGTGTGTGTGTGTGTGTGTGAGAAAGAGATAGTGATCAGAGAGATAGAGAGGATTTGTGTTTCCTGTTCTTCTTCTTCTTCTTCTTGATTCTGCTTTATCTTTACGTGGAATGGCCATTTAAGTACTTCTTTTTCGTGTTTTTTTTTTTTTTAAATATATCTGTGATATCACTTTTGCATGGTTGCTTTTTAGGTATTCAAAAACTTATCGGTATCCACATTCGACAATTATTACTAATTAAAGGCACTTCTTAGACACTAAGGAAACTTTATGTACAACTTAGGTTGCAAGTAATAAATGTAATACAGTTCGACGAAACAAGAAAAGATATGCGAAGACGCTATTTTTTCAAAAAAAAATAAAAGGTAGGGATTTAGTGTGGTAACTTTAATTCAATCCATTATGCAATTTTATTTTAATTTTTTTTAAAAAGTTATATAACAAATCAAATAATATATATTCTGGTGAAAACACGATTTTAAAGTTGGGCAACTTAGGCCTAACATTAGAACACGTTGGCCAACTTTGGTGATTTCAAGGCTGCAAGCTCTCCTCTATGAGGAGATACCCATGATATATTTAGTTGCTTAAAATTAATTTAATAATGAAGAAAGAAAAGTCGCAAGAGAAGTTATCAAACATCAAAAGTTAGAAAGAGAATTAGAGTGAAATGAAAAAATTCTAGATCTAATGGTGGAAGATAAAATGTCTTTATTAACTTTTCAATCATACATTTCATCAATTTGTATCAAAATATACTAAAAATTTTATTTAAAACTTTGTCAAACAATAGTTAAATTTCACTATTAGCTTTGTGAACAAGGATTGTACAAGGCATTTGGCTTTGAAGAGTGTTCTTGCTTGGGTTTTACAAAATTGAAAAAGAAGCTAGCAGAACAGAGTACCAAATTATTATTATTAAAAGAAGGCAAATTAGGTGTGTGTTTTTAAAAGCATAGTTAGACACAAAATGGGTTATTTTAACATTTCTGTCTTAATCCCTGTTTGATCCCCATTAAATTAAATTACATTACATTCCATTTTTTTCCTCCTACTTTCAACCACACAATCTTTCATAAAATAATATTACACGTAAATAAAAAACTTTTCATTCTTTTTCAACCACTCATTTTTCTAAAAAATATTATTCCCCCCATTTTCATTTTCAGGTAATGGGCATCAAACAGATCTATTCTTTTCATTGGCTTTGTTAAGTCTGATTCTCTCCTCGGCTCCATTTTCAATTTTTTTAAAAATAAAAAATAGTTATATCAACAAGAGTGCAATGAGATCACTTGTGAGTAATTAAAAATTCGTTTGGCATGATTTTTGAAAAGTCAAAAGTTACTTCTAAAACTAAAAAACTGCTTTTGAACATGTTGAGATAAATTTTAGAAAGTGTTTTGCCTGATACTTTCTCATGAATCTCCTATACAATAAGCAGAAATAAAAGTAGAAGTCTTATTAAACGGGTTCTAAATATGCATTGTGTAATTAAAATTTTGTTCTTTGAAATTAGGGACAAACAAGTAAATTCAACAAGGTTACGCTGCCAGGGAGGGTTGACACCCTTCTTGATAGCACACTCACAATAAGGGAGCACTTTTTGGCATTTTTTAATCACGCGAGTCTCACGCTCATGCGAGTGTATGTTAATCAAAATGTCAAACATTTTCTGGCAAATGAGCTTTATTCAAGTAAATTAATGCCAAATGATAATTATGGAGGATGTCTCCAATGAATACAAATTTATTGTAAGAAAGTTTTTACATGATAGATTTATGTAAATAATGAATTTGATCCAAATGTTAATAATAGAAGACATAATTAGTATGAGATATAAAATCTTTCAGCTATCTTCTCTTTACAATCTTCTTCTATCAGAACAAGCGTAAAAGCTTTCGAGGCACTTATGGAGACGATCTGAGACGAAAAATTATTATTCCCTTCTTTTCAACAACAGATGGAATTTCCTAAAACCTTTAACTGTTTGCTTTGAAGTAGTTGATCAAATCAAGGTTCACCTTGGCATTGGCTCGTTCTTCAGAAAGTGTCCGAAAAGAATAAAAGCTTGTCGAGGGCGATGAAGTGGTACCTCGTGCCCCGCTCCAGTAACAGTAACGAGAGTCAATCCCTTGTATACTTGGCTCCATCCACCAACCTACATATATAAGAAAGAACTATAAGAGAAACTAATGATCAATAAAGACCACCAATCTACGAAGGAAAACTTTTTAAAAGAGCCCAACAAATCCTTATTCCCAATAAATTTGATAGCTAATTTATGTTTTCGAAGATGAGAAGGAAAAGAGAAGAAAATGGTTCAGATACATGGAGCATAGTATTCACTCTAAACAATTCTTGTTCTTTAGATTTTGGCGTGTCATCAGAGATGGCATTGTGGCAATAATACTGATCATGAGTATCCTCGTTAAAATTGGAAAAATGCCAAGATTTGTTGACATATGAGGAACATAAAAATAAGAATTGACAGAAACAGAGAAAAAAAAATGGTCATCCAATGCCATTAGCGAATTAATGTTCATACCACTAACCTTTTTATTGTCATACCATGGGTACCATTTAGTAACTGTCGGAAGCTTCAAAGCATCAATTGAATATCGAGTTGCCGTCACAGGAACCACTGCATCGGTATCCCCACTGCAAATAACCAAAGGTGAGACAGACAGTATTTAAAACTTCCACACATGGAAAAGATAATAGTTTCCTCAAACATTACAACAAAAAATTGCGGAGATAATTTCACTCAACTCATTTTTGGCTTCTCAAGTTGTACCAATAATACGAATCACAGACAAGTTTGTCATGTGTCGTATAAAAAGTCTGGACAGACCAAATATTGTCCTCGAAAAGTAAAATGAATATGCAAATTCAAAGGACCGACTGAAAATGAGAAAAGGATCTCTCCAAAGTGACAACAATTTGATGAACTCACTTGCAGTTGAACCTAACTTAAGGGCTAGCCCCATCCACCCTTTCATCGTTATGCTAAAACTCCAAGTCTTCGAGTATCTAATAACAATGCTGAAATAATTTAAAAGTTTATGATCAGAAGAATTTCTTGATAAGAATACATTATTAACTCAAATCAAATTGTTATCAGTTCAATCCTCAAGTTCTTTTCTATCGTGGTATAGAGCTGGTAGAGGCTTCTCGTTTTTCTTTAGAAAAAGTCCATAGGCCAAACCCGTCAATGTAAAACCAGTTAAGATTGAGAAGTCTGCTTTTATGTCTCAATTTCTCAATTGATGGAAGACGTGCTAATAGAAACTAGTTCCCTTTTTATTCTATAAAATACCACAAAATAAACTTGTCTGGTTACCAGAAATTCGTATCTTCACCAAAATCCTCAATCCCTCAAATAGATTGCCCGCAGTATTAACAGAGATAAAATAACAACACGGATGGAGAAAGGTGTAAAGATTCAAGGAAAATAAACAAGGGGTTCATACCTAAATACCCAAATCCTGACACCAGCAGCTATAAGTTCTTGATAAATTGGAAGCATGGATAGAGGAGAATCTGCCCAGTAGTTGCCAACAATATCGCTGCAAATTGAAGAATTCACGTAAAAAATTGTTGCCTACCACTTATCCAACGTATGTTTGACTAAGCTTAAAAAAAGCTATTTCACAAGTAAACTTGTATGTAAATAATTTTTAAAAATAAATAAACTTTTTATTGGTCAAAGTAGAAATAACTTATGTTGAGCGAAATCCCAAACTTAATGTCAAAATATGTAACGTCTTTTAATTATTAAAAAAAAAAAAACTAATTTATCTGAACATGTTTGAAAATAAAAAAAAAAATACTTGAAAGCAAGTTTAAATAAATTTTAAGCTCAATCAAACATACTAAAAGCATAACAGAGACTTCCCAGCTCTGATTCTCACCTGCATGATTTCCATGGATAAGGAATCTTTGTTACGTTGGCATGTAAAGCCTTTTGAACCTCAGGGAGATTAAAGTAAACTTGAGAGTACCTTTCAGTGCATGGGTCGTATGCTCGGGACATCCATGGCTACATATGAAACCAGAATTGTAAGTTTAGCTAAAACAATACCATATGTTACAATTTTTTATAAGCATTCAAGCAGTAATCAAACTTCTAAAATAAGCAGAAATTAAGAAGAGCCCTGTTATGCGAAATGTTGACTGTAGTCTAGCTCAAAATTTACTACGTAGTACAGAATTTCAAGATAAAATTATGGAAGAATAAAAGAAAGGAAGGAAGAAGGTGTGTTCTGATTGATATGTGTGGTAGAGTCTAGTTCTGCATCAATGATCAAATGCAAACAATATAAATATAACAGGAAAAGTTGCAGATAAACCATTTTATATACTGATTGGAAAATAACAGAAAAACGCTAATGGGAAGATAACATACGTTGAGTGACAAAGATGTTAAAGACTTGCTGAAAGTCTATAACATGGTTTGAGAAACAAAGTTTACATTTTATGCTACAATCACTTATAAGGTAACTTGTGTTTGTAATGCGAACAAAACTTGACTTCACTGCAAATTTAATGACTGAAGGCATGTGTCTAGCTAGTTCAGTATTTTTTTCTTTCAAAAAAGAGAAAAAATTACTTACATAATGACCCCTTAATCTGCGCTTAAGTGAAGATGTATCATTGCAAGGGAGTGTGTAAATACTGTAGAGGTCAATGTTCCCCTGCTCCTGTTCTGCAAGAGCAAGAGCCTTAACACATTCACTTGAAGGATGTGTAGCAGATCCAAAGTCACAAGTTATCCGCAGAACTTTGTAAGTAGAATCTGAAATTAAGCCATGAGTCCACCAATACTCAAATGTGCCAACATAATCATGGTAATCATCAGTAACAGCATTCCCGACCTAATAGACGAAAACGAGAGAGAAGAATGAACCAAGGCTTTGCAAAACGAACTTTATAATAGTTAAATAAACGATAATCAGATCACGAGAGTTTCTTGCATACTACCATGAATCTTTTGAAATTAATTATTGGATTTTGAGTTCCCTTGTTTCTTTCGAATATGATTTGGGATAGCTGAGGAACATAATGTCCTGAAAGAATCAATTAATAAAAAGCAAGATAAGCTTGTCGTCTCATTGTAATATTAAATACTTCACGTTTAAAGCTTAAATAAATGAATGGGGTATACATTACACACCGGCATAACTTTCTCCCGCAATGTAAAATTCTCTATGTTTGTATTGAGGAAACCTTTCAAACCAATTCAGAAGAAAGCTGTATGCATCTTCAGCTACACACAACACCCAAATTCAAATTATTCAGTGTTCAGTTTAAGAAAAAATGATATATCAAAAAGTTATATTTTATGGCTTTATATACGCAAGTCATGTAGGAGTGGAAAACATAATAAACAGGATTTTAGCTTACTTTTCTTCTTTGGATTAGACCTATTTTATGGCATCATAAACATAGTGCATACTGAGTAGGACTTGAGATTATAATAAACAAGATTTTAGTTTATTTTTCCTCCCGTTCAAAGATGCCAATTTTAGAGATTGGTGGTCATTAAAAATGGAGTCTACACAATTTTATTAAGTACCCGTTCTCTGGTCACCAGCAATGTATAAATCTGATGAAGTATTTGAATACGAAAAACCAACGCCAGCCGGAGACTCCAAGAACAGCATATTCGCCACTGAAAAAACATTCCAGTATTTTAAGAAAAACTACCAATTTGAAACCATAAACTCGTCATTATTACGACATAAATTCGAGAAAATAAGTGAAATTGCTTCATACATTTGTTCCAGGAGTAAGGATTGAGGTAAAGAGTCTTCCCATCGGAATTAATCCTAAAAGGCCCAATCTCTTCTGCAGCTCCATAACCTACAGAAGAGCAACCAGGCCCTCCATTGAGCCATAGAACCAGAGGCCTTGATTCAGGCACTCTATCTGTAGGTGCTTCAATTAACCAGTAAAAAAGTGCCCTTCCAGATTGCTTATTCACAGTCACATAACCCGAATACTGATTGAACCCAACATTTTCTGGCTGTCCAGGCAAAGAAATTATCCTATCTTTTTCTTGATCAACACTAGACCAAGAATAACAATTGCCCACAAAATAACAAAAGAAAAAAAGCCAAATTATACTCAAAATTGAGTAAGAAATGTGACCCATTAGTTAATTTCCCTAAAGAATTGAAAAATCTCTAGAAATAAATGAAACCCAGAAGCACAAATCCCAAAATATATCTGGGTTCTGAAGGAATTTATCTACAGATTAATGAATGATGACTGATGAGATTGGCTCATGAAGAGGTTTATAATGAATGAGCCAATCAATGAATAGAAAAACAATAAAAACATATCTGTAGGAACACGAATCCCTAATTAATTCTGAGGAAAAGTCAGCTGCTTTTAATGCCTAGACAGCTAACATCCACATGTGTTCTGTTTCATTGAAGTATAGCAAGTAAAGCAGAAAATTACCCATAAAATGAACAGTCAACAAAATACGAAACCCATTTTCAGATTATGCCAATTAACCTTTAGATTTTATTTTTGATGATATTGACATTTATGATAAATTGATAATAACACTACTAGACTATATGAGCAGTCGCTACTGGCCAAGAGTGATTAACAAATGACAACCATTAACAGATTCATTATGTAATGCTTCTTTTTATGATTTTTACTTTTTTAAACTTTCAATAATTTTGACTAACACATATGTAAACATAGCTTAAATTCTATTTTCTATCACTAGAAACTTTGAATATACCCGATTTTCACTTTCATGAAGAGAACAATTTTAAACTTCTAGACTAACGAAAAAAGTCAGATCCCAAATTCCATAATTCCCTACGAATGAAAGGAAAAAAGTTCAACAAGAATCACCTTTAACTAACTCATTCATCTCAAGATTATTGTATCTATTGAAGGTGTGAAAAGTCACTATCTTTTAATCATTTTCCATCCACCCTGTTTCTTCCTTACCAAATACGGTTGACAGATTGAATAAAAAACAACTAACAAACGCACATGGGGTTTGTTCTGAATACGAGAAGCATCGCATCACATGTATTAGTATATTCGTTACAATAGAAACTGTTGAAGAAAGACAGACAGATCAGAAAAAGGTCGAGATCTTTATTGGCCTTCATAATGTAGCAGGTGTACTAAAGTTTATTATTTGAGCAAGTAAATTTCCATATCTATATATGATTGAATGAGGGAATTTTTTTTTTTTTTTTTTTTATCGTATAACATGTTTGGCTGAATTTAAAAGAAAATTGTAGCTACCTCCAAATAAATATGTATTTCAAACATATTCGTGTGCTAAAATTTTTGATAAAAAATTTAGAGGGTTGAGTATCATCAACTGAGACTTTAATGAATTTGAAAAATTATTCTAAATTCATGTATCGCTAATTGAAGTTTTAATTATTTTTTATAAAAGTTTATTACAATATAGCTATCATGGACCAAGATTTTAATGAATTTTAATGAAATCATTTAAAATCTATGTATCCTCAATAAGTATTAAATTTATAGAGATTTCATTAATAAAGGAATTTCAAGATAATTGATGAATTTCAAACGTAAAAATACATGTAACAAACTCTTTTGAGAATTATGTTAAAATAAAAATTCAAATTCACAAAAATTATCGATACATAAATGATAAAATCCAACTTGATTGGATCAACCACAAGTTTCTTGTAAAGAATGAATCAAAGAGGGGGTAAATATCGGTATCTATTGAATTCAAGGTTCCAGTACAATTAATGGAAAAAAGAAAAGAAAAGAATGACATGACATGACAATGAAATCCTAATCTCAAAACAAAGGGAATGGAATATGGTGAAATTGGTAGATGCCATGAGCTCAACTGGAAGTCCTGGTATGAAAATTTACGAGGTGATTAACTTTTAAATTCAAAGAAACCTGATAATTAATAAAAATTGGCAATCCTGAGTTCTATTTTCCAGAAACAAAGGTTCATAAAGAAAAAACGATAGGTGTATAGCAAGTGTGGATATGGTTCCATTTTGTTCTGATTTCAAGATAATCAAACCGAACCATAAACAACAACTTTTTTTATAATGGAACCAATGATTTTTTTAAGATATGGAACCAAATCAAAATAAAACCATTTGGTTATGGTTTAATATATATAAATTAAAATCTAGGGAAAATTGCAGCCAATGTACCAAACATTTCGTTTATTATCAGACTTTGTCTAAACCTTTCATTTGTACCATTGTAGGTACTAAGCCTTTAAAAAATTCGCAGTTCAAATCCGTATTAACAATTTCCGTCAGTTTGGCCCCAAAAACTGTAAGTTAACTTCAAAAATTAAAAATATAACAATTTTGACCTCATAAAGCAAGGGTAAAATTGTAACTCTATAATTTTAATACTAAAAAAACAATTAAAAGGGGGAAAAACCCATCTCCTCCTTCATCTTCCCCAATCCTCCATCTCTGCTGACAATCGACACCACCTCCTCAGTCTTGAGGGCTCAAACGATGGAACTCAACCAAAGACTGCAATCCCTCAACGAAATCATTAATTATATCAACAGCAGCACAGCCGTCGTCGTTGCCACTGCTGCAGCGATGCCTCCAGCCACCAATTGCGTGTTCCAGGCTGAGGAGTTCCAAGGATTTTCTGATGGGTTCTTGAACAATCCATGGAATCTAATGTACATTAATCAACAACCAATCATGGTCTCAGCTGATATGTTTGATTATTAAGTTCACTAGTTTGTTCAAGGTTTAAAAAAAAAAAAAAAAAAAACCACCTGCTTCTCCTCTACCACCACCTGTGAAAACGTAAGAAGTTTCCGTCATTTGCACCGTTCTTCTGCTTACTATTGTATGGTCCAAGTAGTAATTGCTTAGATTTTGCACTTATTGGTTTTCACATTCTTCACCTCTGCGTCCCACGATTCTTCCTATGGCGTTAATCTATGTTGCTACCAGGAAAAGGAGGAGAAGGAGAAACACTGAAGTTTTGGTCATTGTTAGAAAATTGGGTAAGACCTAAGGTTTTTTTTTTTTTAATTTATAACCGGAGTATTTGAAATTGAAGATATTATACCTAGGAGGAGAAATTATAGAAATTAACAAAAAATAGGGTTTTCAATTGGGGATCTGAAATTGGGGTGAGGGGATTGGGGAAGATGAAGGAGGCGATGGTTTTTTTTTCCCTTTTTAATTGTTTTTTTAATATTAAAATTATGGAGTTACAATTTTACCCTTACTTTATGTAGTCAAAATTATTATATTTTTAATTTTTGAAGTCAACTGACAATTTTTCTGGTCAAAATGACGAAAACCGTTAATACGGACTTGAATTGCGAATTTTTTTAAGGTTTGGTACCTACAGTGGCACAAATAAAAGGTTTAGGCNAGCAATTTATAAATTTACGTTAAACATGGCGTTGCGCAGGGGTTAAATGGCGAGTGGTAATTTCTGCCCACATTTTTGAAGCCAATATACTTGGAAGTAGCGGCGGATTCAGGAAGATTGAATTGGGCTTTAGTCCTCTCCCAACCATTTCAATTTTTATGGTTAACATTTTTTCTATATAAGGTAAAAAATAATAATAATAATTATTATTTATTTGTTAATTTTTTTTATAAGCAATTCTTTTTTACATATTTCTCCAGCTTATTATTATTATTTTTCTAAATCCGATAAATTGTTTGTCCCTTCAATCTAACATTCATACTTTCGCTTCTAATTTGTTAGGACATCGCATAATGCAATCCGACGAGTATTATATAGGCTCTTGTCAGATTGTAAGCTTTCCCAATTATGATTCTCGTTCCTGGTGTATATCTTGTCACAAGGTGGCATTTTTACCCGATATGTGATTTATTAATTTTGTGTTGTTTGAAACTGTGTAAATTAAAATTTAATCAATGGATCCCACATATTATTACAAGAATAAAAGAGACCAATAAATGATTGGTCCTTAAATTATGTGTTCAAACATTTTAAATTCATATTAATATAAAACTTTTAAATATGCACCAATTGGTGCAAGATTTTTATTCTAAACATAACCCTCAACAATAGTGATTTGTTTGAAAAATACCAGATTTGAAATTATATTAAATGCTTGTTTTGTTAATAAGCATTTATAAATTGTAGTACGTATGAAACGTATTGATGATATATTGATAAAATTATGAATCTAACAAAATATATCTATAAAAATAATTTGATCAGCTTATAAATTATTTTAAACTTTCCAAAACATGTGTCGAGAGACTTCACAGGAGCAATCTCAATATATGATATATTTTTTTTTTAATTTCACATTATTATAATAAGAGAAATAGTAATTTTTTGAAAAATGTGTGATGTTAGAAAAGAAGAAAAAATTTGTGGTTTTACGTATAATATTATTTATTTGAGAATGTGTAATTAATAAGAAGAGGAAAAAAATAAATTATAATTTAATAGGGGCAAACAGGGCTTAATCATCTGTTTGTCTAACTTTATATATAAATTATTTATAAATAACCATATCATATGTTTCAATGAATATATATGTGTGTGCGTGTTTATTTATTCGAAGTAATTTCTGTCTACTCATAAATTTGTTCATAAATTCTTTACAAACCCAAGCTAAACTGCCAAATTATTCAAGATATATAAGTTTTCAGTTAGACGATAAAAATGAATTCACATTCAATGTTTGGCGAATTAGAGTATAATCTAACTTAGAAACAAAGAATAGGAATCAATAATGAAATTGAATATAATGTGATTTGGATTTAGATAATAAATTTTGTCTCTTAATGGTCAAGAGAGAAACCCTAACAATTTTACTTGCCGAACTTGATGTTCTTTATTGTCACAGCGCCGGAGAAACAAATCGAATTGGTAAGTTTTCTCTTTAATCTCAAGTAATATTTATGCACGAATTTTTTTTCCCGGAAAAAAATCTCTGTGTTCGTGGTTCTTAGTAGTTACAGCTTACTGTGTTTCGATGATCCTAACTATCTGTACAAAAGTAATGAATAAAATATATTAATATGAATTGGAAAATTGAATCACATAAAAATGTATATGCTTTTTGAATACCTACACAGAACTCATTGCTAGTTAATGGTCAGTGGAAATTATTGGATAACGTTATCTTCTTTTTTAACTGTTTATAGTTTATAAAGAAGCTGCTTGGTGCTGGTTTATAGCAATAAATAATTTTTGGATGGCATTTCCTAGTTTCTATCCAATTTGTGTTCTTTTAATTTTCATACAATCAGCCATTTAATGCTTCTATTAACAAAAACTATATAAAATGACTGGAAATTATTTGATAATGCAAAGAAGCGGTTTCGTTCTGGCATTAGACATGGAAACGCCTTTTAGCATTGCTTTATTGATTTGTATTTTCTTGCGCATTTGTTTATAGTCTGAATGATGCCTATTTGTATCTGTTCTAGATTTTGAATTTCGTTATTTCACAGTGATAAACAAAAGCCATGACATGGTACACACAATTTTAAAAAGATTACAGTGGTTACCACTGGGAAGGACTTCACTAATATTATTCTCTCCTGCAAACAACGTCAAACACCAGCTGTTGTTCACAAGGGACATGCCATCTCACATATCCGTCAGTTTTATATGTCCAAAGTGAACTATAGGCAGGCAAAACTTTCACGATAAGCTTTCCACCATTATTGAGGAATTCCCTCGGCTTGATGATATTTGTCCTTTCTACGGTGACCTTGTCCATGTTATGCACAACAAAGACCATTACTAGCTTACTATTGGCCAAATCAATATTTGCTACCAGAATCATCCTTGTTAGATGTTTCTATAAGAATAACTTTTTGTAGTATATAGATGCATACTGATTTCGTATGTTGGCTATGTTTGTCCAAAAATACCAAGGGATATCACATTCCGATATTTGCAGTTCTTCTGCTGTGTGAACTAGCAATTCTAAGCATGCTGTAATATCTTAAGTGCACATTCAAGTTATTTATTCTAAATGTTCTCCTTTTTGTCTGTTGCAGAGAGAAGTTTCATCTTGGTGTTGTTAGCCTGTGATTGCATCAAAAAGCTTTAAAAAGATTTATGGATTTTGTGGAGAATCTGACTGTGGGTTGATTGAGATCTTTTATATTTTTATTAATCCAAATTTAACATTTAGGTATTTATTGGAGTTGCAATTTCAGAAATGATATATATATATTACCTTTTTCTTAAATTTTGAGGTTGCTTTGTATTTTTGCATTAAAAGAAAGCAAGTTCTAGTTGAATTTATCTCATCAAATATTGATAACATATCACATAGTAGTCGCATCATCAACTTACCTTCTGAAATATATTGGTTCCTAATTTTATTATCTGATACTGGCAGAAAGCAGCTTCACGAGCTGATTGACTTTAGTATTGCCTCTCAGTAAGTTGATCCAGCCACATATGTTGAAATTCGGTGCCATTAAACCAGCTCTTGCCTCCTATAGTTTGAGGTGTTAGATAAATCTCCCTTAAGAGTTTGATAGTTTGTTTGTCATTCAAATTGGTCGGTACTCAGTAGTGGAGTGAATTAGGAAAATATTAGTATCAATTACTAAATATTTACTGTACGTTTTTAGTTTTCTCATCTCCACTAAAACCATATATATTATTAGAATTGGAAGGTGGTATCGGAACTGTTGATTCCTTGCTGCTATCCTTGCCTGTTTCACTGCTTCAGTCACCAAGAGCTTGTTTGAGAATGATTTTGAGAATTGATTTTTTGACCGTTAGGAGAAAAGTGGGATCCACCTGTGAGAGAAGAAGTCAAATATTACTGCTGGAATAGTAAAATAACGGTCAAAAAATCAATTTTTTGGGTGAAAAAATCGGGTCCAAACAGGCTCCAAACCATTGTACTGTAGCTGATGATTTTCTGCTTGATGAATATAAGCAGTTTCAACTAAGACGTAGGCTGAGATGGTACCAGGGCTGCTCCTTCCTTCTTTGCCACCTATGCCACAGTGGTACTTTTTTCTTTTCATTTCTATCTCTATGTGCGCGTAGATATGCATTTAATGTTTTGGAATGGTTTGAGCCTAAAATTTGATCTCATTTATCTATTTTCCGGAGATTATGAATGTTAGGATTTATGTTAAAGATTAGCACTTAGAAGTGCACTCTTGATGTAATTTTTCAATGTCATGCCTTGATTTTCATTATTTGTTCGCGTGGAGTAAAATGATAGCAACGAGAGAAATAAGCTTGAGATAAGGGCAAAAAAATAAAATAAAAAATGTTGATCATTCAACAGCATATTGCCATTACAAATTCCTAATTATAGGCATGATGTATCTTTCACTTTGGAGTTTCCTTTGATAGCGCCTTTTTGCTTTAAAAATGTTGATCATTGTATTTCCTTTTTTGGAACTTGGTGGTGCTAAAAATTGCTTCTACAACCACGAAAAGGAAATTTCTAGTTCTCGTGCATCTACTTAAAATTGTGGGAATATAACCAGTCATCATTTGGTGAATAAATGGTTAAACCATTTTATTTAGGGTACCAAGGAAAGCGTTTTAATTTCTTTGTGCCCTTTTTTCATTGGAAAGGCAATTGCCTCTATACATTTCCTCGAGGTTCTTAAGGAAATGGAGTTGCTCAAGTGTTTTATTGATTCGAAAAAATTGATTTTAAATCGATCATTCACTCGAATATCAATATGTGTACAGTTTAACGCCGATTAGCCACCTGATGCACATAGTTTAACCC